GTTCGTTGCTCAGGTAATTTCCAATTTACAAAGGTATTTTCCATGTCATTTTTGGCCTCGCAGAAAGATCTCTGCCACTAGATTTACTCCTGCCCCAGTGAAATTGTCCTGGAAGACTTGGAATAAATCAGGAGCTACTTGTGCTGCTGGTGTGGCAAGTGGCTCATGGGCTCAGCAGACTTGATTTTGCCCAGTCTGAGCTCCGACATGAGATAAAATGAGATTATCTCACAGCATCGTGGTCAGGATGTACCAAAACAATGCTTAGAGGTGTTAGTGCTTCTTGTCTTTCTGGTTGTTTATGCATTCAGAAAACACACTTACTCAGCATCTACTGTGTGCTGGTGGCTCCTGTAGCAGAGGCTGGACGCTGTGGTGGACACCCGGACGAGGCAGACGTCCTCACTCACTGTTCTCAGCCGACAGACAGGAGGCAGGTCAACTAGTGAAGTGGTGAACAGAAGGCACGGAAGGGTAGCGTGGGCGGAGACGGTCCCTGTAGAAGTAATTTCGAGTAGAGAACGTTTATTCTTGAGTCCTAATTCTCCAAATACACAAGTTACAAGTCAGGTATTCTTGGCGAAAATGCAGTTGTTTTTTGGGGAAAAACATCAATTTTATCATAGGTTCCCTTTATCCTAGAGGCAATAATCTGAACCATTATAGAATTTAGAAATTTCTTCTTCCCAGCAGATAGTTCTCTGTCTGAATCACCGTTGGGTCAGCCCATTAAACTCCATCCTACAAAATTTACCAAGAAAATTGTGAGATTCTGTGGCGTTTTTATCACATGTTCTTCTTGAGTCCTTTTTTGTTGCGTCCTTGCCGCGGTTCTTAACGTGACAACTCTTCTCCCGAGAATTGAGGTGGTGCCTCTCCTGATGGGTCTAACGAGGAGAGAATTGATAAATATTTAAAATGTCGCTTCAAATCTTAATTGAGCCACGCGCATCAAGACAGTCCTGAAGCACACCCTCAGAAGCACCCACTGGGAAGCCGCTGGGCTGCTGTCCGCCCGGAGCCGCGTCTGGGCGGCCGGCGGAGGGAGCTGGCCTGTGGGTTGGTTTGTGTTCCAAGGTTCCAGGCCTTTGTGCTGGTGGCCTTGGAAACGTATTGTGAGGCACAGTTTGGAGAAGAGCCTGTTCATACCCTTGTTTCTCCTTTTTCTCGTAAATTCTTATTTTTTTTTTACTGACTGGCGCAAACATAGTTCTGAATTAGAACTTGTTGACAGTTTTTAAACATTAATTTGCAGGTATGTTTAAAAATCATTTTCTTTTTCAATGCCCTTTCCAAAAGCTGCCTTTGGGTAGGGCAGGTCTTATTTTTATTTATCCCTGAAGGTGTTTTGCAAAGTTGTGAGGGTGTAGTAAGTGTCTAAGACATAGCTTCTTATTGCTCAATGAGTTTAATGAAAATGTACTTGAGGCATAAATATTTGTTCCACCATCACAATGCACTGGGACCCAGCCCCCATCAGTAGGTTTTTGCAACAGAATCACACTGGTATGCGAATTTCCGGTTTACATGTAAGCCTCCTTCCTAGACTCTGAGCACCTCGGGGGAGAGGGTGGGGCACTCGTCTGGTGGGCCAGTAAGCGTTTCCGAGCGCCAGCTGCGTGTCAGGCCAGGGAGCGGTGACTCAGGGCTGGAATCCACTCAGGCTTGCCGCTCACAGCTCTAATGAGGGAGAGAGAGACGCGCACCAAACACATCAGCATGTAATTTGTAGTTGAAGTAAATAATATGAAAAACGGGGACCTAACCAACTCTTGGAAGTTAACCTGAGGAAGTGAAATACACGCAGTGACCCGGAAGGAAAGGAGGAGTTGTCCGGGCTGAGAGGCGGGAAGCTCATTGCAGCGGGGAGCTGGATGAGGAGAAAAATCAAGCAAGACGTGCCTGGAGAGGAGTCGGGCCGGGTGGGCCAGGCTCAGGATTTGGGACCGAATCTCTGGAGCAGTGAGAAGCCACTGAGAGGTGCTGACAGGAGAGTGTGTGGTGACGTGTTTTTGAGTTTATGTCCCTCTGGTTGCAAGACAGGGAGTCGGGCTGAATGAGGGATGGTTCTCAGTCCTCCAAGGGGGCGACGGTGGTGGCTTAGATGAGGCCACGCAGGAGTGATGGAGATACGTTGACAGGTGAGATCGGTGTATGAGGTGGAGAGCTGGTGGGACGTTGAGGTGGAGTGAAATGAGGGTGAGGAGACGTCAAGGATTAATGTGACTTACTGAGATGAACGGCCCAGAAGAGAAGAAGCTTGGGGGACAAGGTGACAACTTCAGTTTCAAACATGTCGAGTTTGAACTGCCTTTAAGAGATCCCAGTGGAGATGCTGAATGAAAGCTGGATGCACTGGTCTAGAACTCAGAGCTGCCTGGGCTGTAGCCTCGGAGCATCTGTGTATACAGTTGGTTGATGAAGAGATGGATGTCCCAGAAACGAACCTTGGGGTTCTCTGACATTGTCAGTTCACTGAAGGGTGAACACCTGGCAAAGAAGAGGATGCCCGTATACAGAAGGCCAGAGCGCGATGTCCCCAAGGCCCGGGGACAGTAGCAGTTCAGGGTGGAGACAGCCAGCTGTAGTCAGTCTGGCACCAGGGCACTGCGGGTGGTGTGCTCTCAAGCAGTGCGTGCTGGGCTGAGGCAGAGAGGCCGCAGTGGCCTCAGAAGGTTGGCGGATGTGTGTGGTTGGAGAAGTGGCCTGGAGCACGTGGGGATGTCATCCTGAGAGCTCTGGCCGCCAAGGGGACAGTGAACAGCAGCTAAAGGGGGGTGTGGCTTCCAGGTAGAGTTCCAGCATTTGGTTTCTGTTGTTTTGTCTTTGTTTCTTTTTCTGTTGAGGGAAACTGGAGTAGGTCTAAATGTTGGTGGAAAGGATTCAGTAGTCAGGGAGCAATCCGAGCATTTGAGGGCCTGAAGCTCCTGGAGGATGGGAGGTAGCTGAGATCTGAGCCTCGGTGCTCAGGGGGTTTCTGTGGAGAGGCCAGGGTGCTCCCCGCTTTGGGGCGGAAGAGGGGTATTGGAGGCACAGACGAGCAGGCCTCTGTTTTCTCAGTGAGCCAGCCGGCGAGCCGGCCACTGGAGTCCAGAGGCTGGAGGGCAGTGGGGGTCTGGGGCGTGCAGAGGACTCAGGCGACACTGAAGACAGTCGTTTGGTAACACCTGATCTGCACTGCTGTGTAATTTTCCCCAGAAGTTAGTCACACAGAACACAGAGCAGCAGGGTAATACAGTTGATGCGTGCTTTTTCCCATGATTTGGCTTTTTTTTCCCACAAGCAGGTGTGATGAAAGGTCAGAGAGGCAGGGACTTATGTTATTTGCAACAAAGGGTGAAATACTGGTAGAATTTTAGACAAGGGAAGGGAGTTGGGAGAGAGTGGACCGATGATGGAAAAAGAAAGGAAGTCGGTGGCCTGGGAATTCCCGTGATGTTGAAGCAGCAGCAGCAGTTGGATCCTGGGAAGGAGTCTGACTACGGTGTAATTTTGTGGCCAGATGGGCTGTTTGCTTCGTGACTCTGGAAGCGGTGCCATTTGGGGTGACGACAAGGTCCAGAGGGTCTTCTTTGTGCGTGTGGCTCAGATGGATTCAGGGAGGAGGCCATTGGGGACGAGCTGGTTAATGACCTGTGAGAGCGGCATATGGTGCAGGACAACCACATGGGTACTGGGGCTGCCTTGGTGACTTGCTGGGGCAGAGCACAGGGGCTGGCGACTTGGGGTGACAGAGGCCGGGGAGCGAGAGCAAGGAGGGGCCCGTGGTGATGGAGCCCCAGGGACTTCTCAAGGAACAGGCGTCTTAGAGGAGTAGGAAGGGTACAGTCTAGAAAAGGTGCAAGAAGAGGGCGCTGACTTCTCGCCAGTCCTGAGGCCCACAGGGTAGGAGAAAAGGAGCATTTGCTCCTGAAGAAGCTGCAGGGGACACTGTCATCGCCCGGTGGGCAAATCCAGTCAGAGCTGGGGGCCGGGAGAGCGTGGACAAGGACGAGGGCAGAGGGCTTGAGCAGGAGACGGAAGTCAGAGAGCCAGGGGGCGGGGGGGCCAGACAGAAACGTCACACAGTGGAGCGGGGGGTTTCAGTCCTGGCCATCTTTAGGTTGTCTCTTGGGCTTCGGCTCTTGTCTGATCTGCGGCTCTGGTCTGTTGTATGGTCTAATCTAGAACAGATGGTATAATCTAGAATAGATAACATAGTCCAGAACAGACAGCACAGTGCGGTATGGTGGAGTATCCTGAGTGTGTGAAGGGCAGTGTAACACAGCACTGTGTGTTATAGTGTATAAAGCAGAGTGTGTATAGTGTGCAATAGTGTGATACAGAACAGTACAGCGTATATGCTGTGGTGCCGTGTGGCGTGGTCCACACATCATGTGTCACACAGCGTAGCACCGTACAGCACATATATGATACGTAGTGCAGTGCAGTGCGTACGCCGTGGTGCCGTGTGGCGTGGTCCGCGCGTCGTGTGTCACACAGCACTGTACAGCACGAGTGCAGCAGCGCACCCTCAGCCGTTCTGACACACTTGAGCAGCCCGGGTGGGGCTACGGTCATGTCTTTGGGGTGCCCTATTTGCCAGTTCTCTGTCTGCCCAGCCTTTGGGGGGGCCTTGCTGTGGTTGGGGGGTGTTTGCTGGGGAAGCACAGCCCAGGACCACCCGCCCACGTTCTCGGCTCACGACTGCATGGCCTGGGCCAGTGTTCCTCTCCGGCAGAGACAGCGATGCTCCCGTCTGTTTCTCCTTTGACGCCCCCTCCTGCTGCTCCGCCTCTGATGGTAGTGGCTGTCACGTTACCTATTCCAGCCCTGATGGTCTCTGCTAAGTCATTTTACAAAACTTTTATAAAACTACACAAGTACCTGAGAAGTGTTTTGGGTGATGGTTTGTTTCGATTGGTAAAGTCTTGTTAAGGATCGTTTACATAGTTTAGTCTAGTCTTTCCAGTTCTTCTTGACTGAGGGTGTTTCAAGGTATGTTCTTTTACTTCCTGAAGGAGCAAATGATGTGAAAATCCTTCCAGGTCAAGCTGTGTGTCCTACTCCGGGGTGCCGAGGAATAGGCCACATCCGGGGTCCGCGGTATTCAGGACATCACAGGTAAAATTTTTTTCTTATTTGAATTATTTCAGGGATGAACTAAAACATGATGCATATGAGTAGCTGTAGGAAGCATCACAGTCAACTCTCCTGGAGCTGGATGCGCCCCCAGCATCCTTCTCTGTTTCCAAGGCCTCTCCTTGACCTTCCCGCTGCCTGCCCGCCCCGCCTTCTGGCCCAGACCAGCTCACTTCCCTGATCTCTGCTCTCTGACTCTGTTCTGCACACACACATTCCCCCAGCACGCACCCCCCGAACCCCTCCCCACGCCTGCACCCTCTCCACACAGCTGCCCCATCGTGCTTGCTTCTAGAGGGATTCCAGAGCCACGTGCCCTTCCCCTCCTGTTTTCACTTTGCCCCTATTTCGTTTTCTCTGTGTCTTACTGATTTGGAGATGAGATGGTTCTGTGATAGAATTAAAAATAATAAGTGTTAAGTCGTGTTGCAAATATGTTATAAATATATTTAACAATAGTGTGGAGAGGATAATGCTTGCAAGGAAAAATACGTGTGAGTAAGTGTCTACGTCCTTACTGCTGCTTCTGTCCCCATCAGTTGCTAAAATCATGTGTGGATAAATTATTCCTGCTGGTGATCAAGTTAAAGAACATGTAAGTTAAAACCGAACAGAATTGACATCAGATTTGTACAAATACACAAATATATAAAACAAATACACAGACAGGCATAAAGAGGAAAGGATAAACCATGTTGCATGTGAAGCAAGAAAACACTTGTTTGAGCAACAGATCCAGACAGAAGTCCTTGTGGACCAGGTGGGTGCTGTTCTGGAAACCAGTGCCTAGAACAGCTGAGCCAGTCAGAGCAAGTGTCACTGCACGAAGGAATGACGAACCTCCCAGTAGTGTGCCTGAGTGTGTTTTATGTATAAATGTCACAGTGACACTTACAAAATATGACGCACTATCTGTGAAAAAAGAAAGGCATTGAGCTTTCCTCACCCAGCGTGGTGCCCGTGGGACTGACTGCCGTTCTTGTTGATAGTGTCCAACTATGAATATGTGACATGATTTTCTCCACCAAGTGGCCTTTTATGGTTGGCCTCAGAATTTCTGAAGAAACTAGAAGAATGTAAAAATAAAGAGGTTTTTTTTTTTAAAGGCGTTCTATGAAGCTTGGGAAAACATGGGATACTGAATACAGGCGATGGGGAGAAAAATGGGACTTTTAAAATTTTTTTTTACTTTTTTAATTAAGATACAGTTGATGCACAGTTATAAGTTACAGGTGTACAGCAGAGTGACTCACAGGTTTTAAAGGTTCTCCTTCATGTATAGTTATTGGAAATACTGGTGTATTCCCCGGGTTGTACAGTGTCTCCTTGTAGCCTTTTCAGATCCAGAAGCGTGTGCCACTTCCTCCCCTGCCCCACCCGGCCCCGCTCTCCTCTCTCCGCACTGGTCACCGCTAGTTTGAGCTCTGTCTGTGAATCTGCTTATTTTTTGTTATATTCACTAGTTGTTTTTGTTTTTGTTTTACATTTCACATGTACGTGATATCATTACAGTATCTATCTTTCTCTGCCTGCCTGACTTCACATAGCTTAATGCCCTCCAAGTCCATCCATGCTGCTGCAAATGGCAAAATTTCATTCTTTTTTGTGGCTGAGTAGGTGTCCACCACATCTTCTTTAGCCAGTCATCTGATGATGGACACTCAGGTTGCTTCCGTATCTTGGCAGTTGTACATAATACTGCTCTGAACATTGGGGTGCATGTATCTTTTTGAATTAGTGTTTTCATTTTGGGGGGATATACACCCAGGAGCGGAATTGCTGGGTCATAGGGTAGTCCTCTTTTTAGTTTACTGAGGAACCACTGTGCTGTTTCCTGCACTGGCTGCACAATTTACATTCCCACCAGCATTATACAAGGGCTCCCTTTTCTCCACATCCTTGCCAACATTTGTTATTTGTGGTCTTTCTGATGAAGAATGAGACATTCTGGGGACCAGGAGGTCCAGGACTTTCTACCCCTGGACCTCACAGTTCCTGGGGCTGCCCCGGTGATGGCTCTGTGACTGGGCTGTGACTTCTGGCCCTGGCCTTGTGATGGGGTGGGGCTCCTGTGGGCAAGAGGAACGTCCTCCAAAGCCTGGTAATTCCCCTGTCCCAGAAAAGAAAAATAAAAGGCGAGGAATGCCTGTGGTTGGCTTCTTTCTAGAATGGAAAAGACAAAAATTAGAGAACTGGGTATTCCTTGAACTTGCATTTTTAAATAGAATTTATAAGGCATTTAGACCATCAGGTAAATACATTCCGACTTACCTATGAAAAGAAGTGCAGGTAGACAGCTTTTCTTAATTAAACAAATACTATGTTGTGTTCAAGAAACAGGGACGAGCTTCTCGGTGGATTAGTGTTTCCTGTGAGGCAGTCGTTGGAGGGCGGAGGTCAAGGGTGATAGGTCATCTCTCGTGGGCACTGGGCACTTCTCTGTCCTGCTTCTGTCACTTCTAGGGACAGTCTGTCTTTGCCGAGTTTAGCTTTGTGGTAATAATTACTTATTAACTGTTTCTGTTTTCAATTAATACATTGATTTCTTTTGAAACAACCAAATCCATTTTTTTAAATCTGTGTGTGTGTGTGTGTGTGTGTATTTTTTTTTTTATTGAAGTGTAGTCAGTTTGTAGTGTTATGTCAATCTCTGGTGTGCAGCACAATGCTTCAGTCACACATGAACATACATATACATATACTCGTTTTCATATTCTTTTTTGCCATAAGTTTGCAGATAACCAACCAAATCCATTTTTAATTCACTCTAGGTCATCACATTCTGAATGTCATTTACCAAGTTAGTCAGTTTACTCCTGTGGCTGTGTATATAATGTAAAAATTTATTTAAATCCTCTTGCAATTAACTGGGCAAATTTTTTTAATACTATCTCTGGGTTTTATTTTCATGTTATTTCTATTACTGTAGTCTAAGTTTTACATAGCTGTCGAAGATGAAAGTATTGTTCTTCAGTGTGTATTGCTGGTGCTGTCTGTTGAGGATATCACACACACACGCACCCTTGCCATTATACAGGTTATCATTAGTTTGCTTCTTATATGTCCAAGAGGTGAGAATTTTTATTTTATTTTATTTTTTAACATTTTTTATTGATTTATAATTATTTTACAATGTTGTGTCAAATTCCAGTGGAGAGCACAATTTTTCAGCTATACATGAACATATATATATTCATTGTCACATTTTTTCTCTATGAGCTACCATAAAATCTTGTATATATTTCCCTGTGCTATACAGTATAATCTTGTTTATCTATTCCACAATTTTGAAATCCCAGTCTATCTCTTCCCACCCCCAGCCCCCTTGGCAACCACAAGTTTGTATTCTATGTCTGTGAGCCTATTTCTGTTTTGTATTTATGCTTTGTTTTTTTGTTGTTGTTGTTTTTTTTAAGATTCCACATATGAGCAATCTCATATGATATTTTTCTTTCTCTTTCTGGCTTATTTCACTTAGAATGACATTCTCCAGGGACGTCCATGTTGCTGCAAATGGCATTATGTTGTTGGTTTTTATGGCTGAGTAGTATTCCATTGTATAAATATACCACCTATTCTTTATTCAGTCATCTGTTGATGGACATTTAGGCTGTTTCCATGTCTTGGCTATTGTAAATAATGCTGCTATGAACATTGGGGTGCAGGTGTCATCCTGAAGTAGGGTTCCTTCTGGATATATGCCCAGGAGCAGAATTCCTGGGTCATATGGTAAGTCTGTTCCTAGTCTTTTGAGGAATCTCCATACTGTTTTCCACAGTGGCTGCACCAAACTGCATTCCCACCAGCAGTGCAGGAGGGTTCCCTTTTCTCCACAACCTCTCCAGAATTTGTCATTTGTGGATTTTTGAATGACGGCCATTCTGACTGGTGTGAGGTGATACCTCAATGTAGTTTTGATTTGCATTTCTCTGATAATTAGTGATATTGAGCATTTTGTCATGTGAAGAGACGAGAATTTTTAAATGTTGCTGCAATCTCCTGGAATCCTAGAAGTACTATTATAATCATATCTAGCTTGAGTTTCCTGAAGAATTTAAATACTCTAAAATGGAAGTACTTTTTTAGCTTGTCATAGATAAGTGCCTTTACCAAAGAGTCATCATCCTACAAGTTGCTTTTTACAGTCTCTAGTCAAGAGGATTCTTAGGCCAATGTTCTAACGTTTTAAAAAAGAAGAAGAAAATAAAACAAGGACCCCCCCCCCCAGTTTCATGAAGGCCTGTGTGGAACAACTCAGTTGACCTCCAGAGCCTTGGGGAGGCTCGCCAGGGCAGCGCGGCTTTTAAGGAAGGTGGCGGTTTCAGCTGCTTTTCTGTGAAACACTCCCTGGCAGTGGAGTGCCTGCAAGCCGTGAATTTGTTTTTACCATTTCATGTCAGGATTTCTCATTCTGATATTGACAGCTTGATATTTTGGAAAGAAATAAACAATATTCTTAGAATAAGCTGTCGGCATCTTGTTTTGTACAGCTGACAAGCACAGTGACATCAGGATGTCGCTGAGGATGTTTGAAAATAACATATTGCTTTAAAAGATCAGGTAGACCCCTGGTGTCCTTTCTGATGAATTCCAGACAGGCTTATTGTAGTTTTCATGTCAATAGTCAAGGGGTTAAAAATAATACTCAAGGCTGTTCAGAGTTTGTGTAGAAAGCTGCACAGACCATTATTTGAAAGAAATTGCATCAGTTCTTATCTGTATGACACGAGGACTTTGGGCACAAAATTATCACACAATTTACATTTTATTTGAATGAATTTACATAGTGAATAAAAAGAAGTAGGTGTATTTGTTAACACAGAAATATTTAAAGATGACAATATTGGCACTGCAAGATGTAAACCTACTTCTAAGCCAGAGTCCAGGATTGGATACGTTGTTTTTTCTAAATGAGCAGAACGTAGACTCTGGAAGACTCGACCTCCCTCCGTGCCAAGCAACATGCAAAGGTAATTTACTTA